CAATGTAGGAAACAGGAGATTGAGAGAGAAAATGGAAAAGTTTGAGAAAGAGCAAACAAGAACAGTTGGGAAAGAGGAAGAGGAAGCCAGAAAAGCACAAGAATAACAGTTCAGAAGATGAAAGATGACTGAAGAGGCTGGAACAAAGATAAGGTGATAAGACTTGCTGGGTTTATTTAGCCATAAAGTTATCAAAATAATTAGTTCTAGAAAATGTGTCTTGGCTACAGTTAGCATTAAGGCCTTGACAAAGGTATCAGTTACAAATAGGGAGGTAGGGACCCAACATTTTTGTTCCTAACATGTGAAAAACACTGTGTCAACGACTTGAACATGCCATCTTTCTTAAATTTAACAGCTACAACTTCCCTTGTTTTGTAAGTCAGAGAACTGAAGATCTGAAAGTCAAAGTGATCTGTCTCCAGTTGTACAGTTAATTTTTGGTGACACTGAGGAACCCAGGCTTCTTTTCAAATCTAAATAAGTAAGGTGAAGTGAAAAAGAAATCAGAGCATTTTGGTCATTTTCTATTGATGAGATCTGGTACATTTCTTAACTCCACTAAGTCTACTAAACAAGGTGACTGCAAAGATTAAACTACAGATTCAAAACAAATCCTAGTGGTTATTTTTTAAAAATTAAAATTGGCCTACATAGTAACTTACTTTCAAATGTGGAATTTCTTATTTGGTATCCTTCAGAAAAAGAATCTGAAGTTCTGAATTAATGACTATAAATTTTACACATAGTAAACTGAGGTAGGGAGAGGATGTATAAGCTATGGTCTCTAGTATATCTAGAGTCAAATCCAAACTTCATAGTTTCATATCTGTAATATAATGAATGGTCCCACACCTTTTCTTTAGCTACATATTATACTACTGACTTACGTAAATATAATACTCAAACTTGTGGCAGCTATTACTTCTTAACAAACATACTCTATACTTGACCTTACTTTGCATCTCTAACTAAATTCTTTCTTGGTCTATTGAAATTTGTTCTCCAAGGTCCAAATGAAATTCTTCTAGAATATAACCTTGTTTCCAAATGTTGAGAAATGATGCTTTTTCCTCTGAACTTTTAAATCTTTCTGATTTTACTTCTCTTAGAGTACATACTATATCATGCCTTGTAATTTAGGTAAGTATGAAAAAATTTTCATTTCTTCTGGCAGAGCATAAGCCTCTTAAAGCTAGATGGAAGGGAACCAACATTATTTTGCAACTGTAAGATGTCTGTTGCTTTTCCAGTGAATATATATTTTTAATGTAATCTTTATGACACCCTATGAAAAAGGAATTTTCTTTTTACAGATAAGGACCTTGAATTTCACAGAGGCTAAACAATTCACTTACAGTCATAAGGCCAGTAAATGACAAGAGTCTAGATATGAATCCTAATCTTTCTAAATCTAAAACCTTGGCACTTTCTGAAATACTCTGCCCAGTGACCATGGGTAGATCCTCACTGATTTATCTGTTTCCTGTCCACCCACTAATCATCAGAGGAAAACCTTTTGTCATTACATATTAGCAGAAAAAATTGATACGGGGTATTGCCCTCCTACTTTTCAAAACTAAGAACAAACTCTTCAGAGCAAAGAGAATGATTAATATGAATCCTGAATAAAGATGAAGTGATAAGAACTCTGCTTGCAGGAGAAAGCAGTCAAAAACCATTATTTTTCCACTCATGTTTAAAAACTCCTCCTCCTTTGAGGTTTGCACCATCTGGCTATAGCATTCTCCACCCCACCTCCTCATCTGTCATCTACCACCCTCCTGATTAATTCCTATTTTTACTGCACCTGGGTCACAATCTTCCTCTCTTCCCCACATCCCACCATCCTAAATCACTTCACTATCCACACATCATGGTTTCAATATATACCAGCCTCAGAGTTCCTTGCTATACTCAGCTTTGCTGACCTTAATTTCTACTGTATTTCAGCTACCCACACACAGAGACCTAGCTGTTACCTACAACAGCTCCAAATCAGACAACTTAACTCCAGTTTATATATAATTAATATATATATGTATATATCTTTTTTTAGTTATTCATGAACCTTTATTTTTACTTATTTATTTGTGGTGCTGATAATAAAACCCAGTGCCTCACACATGCTAGGCTAGGCAAACGCTCTATTACTAAGCCACAACTCCTGCCCCATTCATGTTAATAATAAATTAATATTTCATTTTCTGACTATAGTACCCAGCTTACTTCCACTAAATTTACTCATTGAACTAACTCAAGCAATCACAAAATCTTCAAGTCCAAAACAACTCATTGTACACTGTTTCCTGTCTCAGCCAATATTACCACCATCCACCTGATCACTCAAGCTAAAAACCTGACTTCTCATTCTCTCACATGCACATCCAATCACAAAGCCTCAGATTTTTTTCAAATTATCCTTTCCTCTTCTCCTATGACCACTTTTTAAAAATGCTATGTCAACCATGTCTTATTTTTAAAATATCACCCACTGAATTAATTTCAAGATTCTTATACATAAAAGGCCCAGAATGGTATGGCTTCTGCCTGTATTTCCAGCCTCACAATTTACACTTCTGTGTTTACTATTATATTCTTATCAGTCCCAAATTGCTGTGGTTCATTACACAAGCCATTTCTTTTCTCACACTGATTCCTCTACTCAATCAGTTTTCTGTTTGACATATACTTTCTACTCATCTTTGCCTACCTAACTCCTACTTATCATTTAAGATTTGGGTCACGTATCATCTCTTCCCAAAATGTTCCCTCAACTCCTAGGCTAGCCTAAAAGCACTAACTTTGGGTCAATCACAGCATCATATGCGCAGCTCTTATTTTTTCATTCCAAAAATGACCAATTTAAGCATCTAATTTGCCAGCTCCACAAAGATTAGTATTCATCTTTGTATGCTCAGCTAAGCACAGAGCATAGCATAGTGCTGAACATATTACCTATAATAAGTATATAAATGTAAAAGAATACAGTAGGTTTAATTTTTCAGTAGAATGTTCTCTGTGCTTTCTCACTGGTGAGTTTCTCCTAACTTTAACTCCAAGTTCTTTGAAGGTTCAGAGTCTTTTCTGGATCTGTAGAGTTTTGCACTGAATGGTGCTATACAAAAATGTACCCAACTTACATAAAAGGGAAACACATTTGCACAAACTAGAAATCAAAACTTGACATATGTGCTGCAAACTTCAAAACCACTTACCAATTTAAAAAATGAAGACATTAAGAACAAAGATAAAGAGCCAATTCTGACTGTTGGTATATGCTTATCTCAGTCATAAAAACAGTGAAACTTTGCTTAAAACTTGAACAGGGCCCCAGATACAAGATTTTATCTACAAGGCCATCACATCCCTGCTGAGTTTCAGAAATTATTAATTTGCAGAGTTGTTTAGGCAGGGGTTTAGGAAATTGGTGAAAGAACCTTTTTAAAATAAAATTTAACCCCACTTACCTCTAAAAGCTAACTGATTTTTAAAAAGTAAAAAATAATGCTGTTAAGTGAGCAACAAAAAAGTTGTTCTTTTTCATATCAATATGGGGCCTTCTGCTGGCAGAAAAGGAGCAAAGAGTTCAGTGTAATAAAGCATTTTCCTCTCCAACCAAATATTAAATTGTAGTTTGGCACCAAACTAGGTCTCGATCTCTTTCTGAGTAAAAATAATAACCTCTTCAATTCACATGGCACATTACAGTTTAAACCCCTTGGATATACATTAGTTTGTTTGATAAAGCATTTAGACATTTTGTTAAAGGCGGGGGAATGTGAAAATTTCCACGAAATAGAATCTCAGCTCCTGAGAACAATCACTACTGGAGGGCTATTTTTTTTTTTTTTTTCAAGTTCAAAACACAGCACAGAAATGAGGAAGGGAAAGTACTTTTTATTATAGCAGGCCAATCCTTGGGGCCAAGGACCTTCCTATAAAAACTTAACAAGGTTTCATCTCTTTGGTCACATCAAGATCTTTGAAGAGAAATCATCCAGGGAGTGGATCAGAGAATTATCCAAGAGAAGACAAGCCTCAGGGGACGTGATTATTACCTTCAGATATCTTAACAGCTGGCCATAAGGGAAAAGAATTAGGAAGAATGGGAGGCATTCTTGTTTCTGTCAAGCTATAATCAAATCTGTGAAGGTACATACAGAATGGGTTTCCCTGGGAGCAGATCAGCTTTCCATCAATGGAAGAATTGTCCAAATACGTCCAATTTCTAGGGTACTACTCGGGATTTTGAAAGATACTTTGGCATGGGGATGGGTGAAAGGGACCCTGGATGACTTTCAGTTCCCTTCCTGTCTGCAGAAGTTCTGGGTTCACCAACCCCTTTCAGTGCTGCGCCCACGTGTCCAGCCTTCCAGGGCTGCTGGCTGGCCTCGGTGCTAGCTGCTCCAGGCCCCGTCTGGGGTTTGAAACCTGCTCTCCAGGGCCGCTTCTGGCGGGGCCCCGGGCAGGGGCAGGTGGCACACGTGAGTTCTCCCAGCCTGGAGATCCCTGGCTGACAGCTCCAGGCCTTCGCTCCCAGGACCCTCGGTCTTCGCCTGCCCGGGGACCAGGGACCGGCAGCCAGCACCGCAGGCATTGTCACCCCCGGCAGCTGGGCAGTCCAACTGACCCACGCAGACAGACATCACGCAGACTCTTGCCCGCCCTTCCCCAGACCGCCCCGGCGCGGGCCGCCAGGACGCAGCGACCGCGCACCCGCCGCCCCGCGAGGCCGACCCTCCACAAGGCCCCTGTGCTTGGCTCCAGGGTCCACCCTGGGCCCGGACGCACACGCAGCGCGGGCCGCCGGGGCTCGCGGCTGGGCTGACACGGCCAGGGCAGGGCCGCGGACACGCAGGCCGCCGCGACAGACGGACAGGCGGCAGGGGCCGGGAAGGGCAGGCGCAGCGGCCGCGCAGGTCCGTCGCCGGCTTCTGGTGGCCAGCGGCCCCTCAGGGCACGGGCTCGGCGGGCGGCGGGAGCCGCGAGGCGCTTACCTGCGGGCGCGGCGGCGCGGGGCACGGGGCGGCTCACTCCCTTCCCGCCGCCATGTTTCCGCTGCGCAGGGAGCGAGCGAGGACGCGGGAAGGGGGCGGGCGGGCGGCTCCGGAGAGGGGCGGGCGGGCGGCGGGGGGCTCCACCGAGGCGGCGGCGGCGGCCGAGGGGGCGGGGGCGCGGGCTCCCCAGCCCCGCCCCGCCCGCGCCTCCCGCCGCGAGGTGGCGCGCGCCTGGGCCGTTGGGCTCGCGCCGGCGGGCGGGACGGCGAGGCGCGCGGGGAGGGGCGGCCGAGGGAGCGACCCCGCCCGGCCACCCAGCGCCTCCCGCCCGCGGCCCGGCCGGCGCCCGACCCACTGTCTAGTTGGCGTTTCACGCACCGGTAAACTGGCGCGCGCAGAGGGCTGGGGTTCGAATCCCGCGGCCGCGGGCAGCTGGCTGCGAGCAGCCCCGCCCCGCCCCGCCGGCAGCTGACTGTGGTGACCTTGAGCGAGTTACTTCTCACCTCCGCTCCAGCGAGGTCCTCTCTGACACCTTGGCGCTTAACCCCGAGGGCTAGTAGGAGGAAAAATATAAGTTAGTGCGCGTCAAGCCCAGGCCACAGCGCCGAGGGCCGAGGGCCGAGGGCCGAGCGAGTGAGTATAAGCGGTTCCGGCGCAGTCCCTTCGGCTATGCGGGCAGCCTTGGCGTGCCACGCTCGGTGCACAGGGTCATGCGCCCAGGGCTCTTCGCTACAGTTCTGTTTCACCGCCACGTCGTTTCAGCAGTGGGGAAGCTGAAGTCTAGGCAGGTGACGCTCCTTGTGCAAGTCGCGCAGCTAGCAAATGACGTGCGGAGACTCCTGTCCACTTGTGCTCTGCCTGCAGGGGTGGGTCCCCGGAGGCCTCCTGGAGCCAAAGACATGCAAGCTGGCTCTGGAAGGAGTCTGCAGGGAAAGCTCATCTCAGGCAGAGGGAAGGTTGAGTGCCAAGGTATCAAGGCGTGGCAGGGACAGCTAGCTGCAGGGACTGGTGTGGGAGCATGTGAGAGACCTGGGGTACGCTGCTGCTGCCCTTGCAGGTAGGGAGGGAAAGTAAGGCAGGAGGTGAAAGGAGGACCTAGTACGTCTAGGTAGAGAGCTTCGATTTTATTTTGTAGGTCAAAGATTTCACAGTGTGGTCCCGGGTGACCCCTTCTAGGGGTCAGTGAACTAAAACAACAACACCAGCAAACAAAAACAACGGTTTTTTGTCCCAATCCAACTTTTTTTTCTGTCATTCTCACATGAGTGTACAGCGAGGCTTTCCACAGAACATATGATATCGCAACAGATTAAATACAGAAGTAGATTTTAGAATCCAGCTGTCTTCGTTTAAGCCAGGTGTTGAAAGAAATTTGCACAAATGTAAAGCACCGCTCTTCTCATTAATTTATGTCTTAGAAAATATGATTTTTTTCGTTGAAAAATGTGCTTGTGCTAATATGTAATAGGTTTGTTATTGTAATTTTTAACGAATAAATTTAAGTTTTTCAGTTTTAATTTTATATGGTAAATATAGAAGAAACACACTGCATAGAAAAAAGTCCTTTGAAGTCTTCTGTAGTATTTTAAGAATAGAAAGGAGTCTTGAGACTGCAAGGTTTATGAATGCCTGCTAGGCAATAGGAAGCTCTTGGGGAGTTTTACTTAGGGAAATGACCTTCTCAGATTTGCATTTCAGAAAGAGCTTTCAAGACCCTAGTTAGGCCTGAGGGATGATTTCCTGCCCCTGGCAGGCTTTCAAGGCAAAGGGATAAAAACATGGAAATGCAGGGTTGATGAGCTACAGAGCTGGGATCCAGATGATTGGTCATTATTCCTGATTTGGTATTGCCTTTCCACCAGACACACTGCAGGTCAGGTGCCCCGTTTTACACCTTTGTTTCCACTTCACCCCTGTGTAGGGAGGGTTCTGCTGTTGGGTTCTGTGGCAGCTGCTGTTTGACCCAGAACACTGTGACCTCCCCTTATTGCCCACTTTCTGAGAAGTAATCAAGTCAGCCAGGCAGATGGGAGGAAAGGAACAGGTTATCAGTGATGGTGTAGGTGGGCATGAGAGCCCTGGCAGAGTCCCCAAGACTGCACAGCCCAGAATATCCTTTACATGCTTCTAGGGCTCTTCAGATGAGTGAGAGGGAAACAGTTGTGTCAAAATGTCTGCTGTCTGGGAAGCTTTTTTTTTTTTTTTTAAGATATGTTCCCCCAAAATGTTTATGTCAGATGAATATCTTGTAAAAATATATTTAAAACTTCATTGCCTTTCTAATTTAAGTATACAGAAAGAAATTTAATATTTTCTAAACTCATTATGAACACAAATCAGTACCAAGCTTTATTATCAAGGAATCCCCTAGACTGTTAAGGAGTGAAGGACATGTAAATGCTGTGTAATGAGAGTTCTTGATGCTTTCAAGTTTCTAGTTGTCAGCTGTCACTTTTCTTGTTGTTATTATCCCTTTCCCCTTTCTGCCAGCTTCTAATCTGCTAAAACCAAGAAGGCAAAAAAAAGAAAAAAAAAAAAAAAATCCAAGTTTACCAGAATTGTATCAAACAGCCTCTGAGCATGGGTGTGAGGGACTGTCCTGGGATGGAACACTGAGAAGGCCTGCTGTGGAGAATTGTTCTTAACATCTCTAGTTTCTGTTCCTTCCCCTTTAAGATGAGATGATCATATACCCATCTCTCAAGTTGTTAAAAGGATTAACATCTTGCTAGCATTTAGCCTGTGTCATCAGCTCTCTGCCCAGACATTTTTTTGTTCTCAGCTCCACTTCTATTAGACAGTTCCACTTGGAGCTTCAAACTTTACAGATTAAGAAGCAAAATCATGACTACCCTGAAGCTTCTTTTTCTGTGTTTGCCATCTCAGACAATGGCTCCACCGTAATCCCTGTGATGGTGTTTTAAATGTCTCCCTTTCCTCTTCCATATGCAGGGAATTTCCAAAGCGCACTGCCTCTGCTCTGGTGAAAGTCCCATTCCCTGGATGGTGGGAACTATAACCTAACTCTGGACTCTTATCTCCCAAACTTGCCTTGCATAGCTGCCAGATTTTGGAAGCATGATGTTTTCCCACTTATTAAAACTCAGTAAGTCCTTGGCAGCTATAGGAGAAAGTCAAGGCTCTCTGTGATCTGCCCACAATCCTCCTTTCTAAATGCATTTCTCACTCCCCTCCTTTACTTCCCTTTTGATTCACTTGTATTCTAATTTGTACTTTTCTTGTCTTGGCTGTCCCATATACTCTTCTAACTTTTTAGAATGCCTTCCTCTCCATTTTCATGTATCTGAATCCTAACCATCTTTAAACCCTCTGATTTTATACTGCCTTCACAAAGCCTTCCATGATCCTCCAGCTTGAAGTTAACATACAGAAAGAGTATGAAGAGCTTGAAGAGTCAGAGCATTCAGATTGCTTGCTATGGTCCAGGCACTCTTCCAGTGCTTTACAAGTACTATTTAAACTAATTCTTGTGACATTTTGCTTCTTCACGACAAATGCATTTATAAGTAGCATTGTGTCAGTCAGCTTTTGTCACTGTGACAAATACCTGAGCATAACAACCTAGAGGGGGAAAGATTTGACTCATAGGTTTCAGAAGTTTCAGTCCATGGTCAGCTGCTTTGGGCCTGAGACAGGACATCAGGGTGGAGGGGTGTCGCAGAGCAAAGCTGCTTACCTTAAGGTGGTGGGGAAGCAAAGAGAGTGAGCAGAAGGGGCTGGGGCAAGATTTAATCCCCAACAGCACTCCCCCAAGGACCCACTCCTTCAACTAGGTTCTACCTCCTACAGTTTCCACCACCTCCCAATAGTCCATTTAGCTGTGAATTCCTCAATGGATTAATCCACTGATGAGATCAGAGCCCTCATGATACAATTGTTTCCTAAAAGACACATGTTGAACATTGCTACATTGAGGAACAAGACTCCAACACAAGCCTTTGGGAGTGCTTCATATCCAAACCACAACTATGATGATCTGTATTTTATAGATAGGAAAATCAAGGCTCAGAGAGATGAAGTAACTTGTCCAAGGTCACACAGCCAGTAAATGGTGGAGCCACAGAAGAACCCAGGTATACCTGCTCCAGAGCCTGTTTTCCCAGGAGTGTCAATATGAAACAAATTCTCCTGCCTCTACTCCCATTAGCTTTCGTGGCAAGCCATATAAACCTCTCCTAGAACTTTCATTTTTTCAGTCTCATTACTGAGTAAGGAATCTTATCTTTCTCACTTACACAATAAGTTTCTCTTTTTTTAAATCTTTTTTTAGTTGTAGTTGGACACAATACCTTTATTTTATTCATTTATTTTTATGTGGGGCTGAGGATCGAACCCATTGCCTTGCACGTGCTAGGCAAGTGCTCTACTACTGATCCACAACCCCAGCCCAATACACAATAAGTTTCTTTTTTTTTTTTTTTATTGTTGGCTGTTCAAAACATTACATAGTTCTTGATATATCATATTTCACAATTTGATTCAAGTGGGTTATGAGCTCCCATTTTTACCCCATATACAGATTGCAGAATCACATCAGTTACACATCCATTGATTTACATATTGCCATACTAGTGTCTGTTGTATTCTGCTGTCTTTCCTATCCTCTACTATCCCCCCTCCCCTCCCCTCCCCTCCCCTCCCCTCTTCTCTCTCTGCCCCCTTTACTGACATTCGTTTGTCCCCCTTGTATTATTTTTCCCCTTCCCCTCACTTCCTCTTGTATGTACTTTTGTATAACTCTGAGGGTCTCCTTCCATTTCCATGCATTTTCCCTTCTCTCTCCCTTTCCCTCCCACCTCTCATCCCTGTTTAATGTTAATCTTCTTCTCATGCTCTTCGACCCTACTCTGTTCTTAGTTACTCTCCTTATATCAAAGAAGACATTTGACATTTGTTTTTTAGGGATTGGCTAGCTTCACTTAGCATAATCTGCTCTAATGCCATCCATTTCCCTGTAAATTCTATGATTCTGTCATTTTTTAATGCAGAGTAATACTCCATTGTGTATAAATGCCACATTTTTTTTATCCATTCATCCATTGAAGGGCATCTAGGTTGGTTCC